GGAGGGCAGAGAAAAGAGGGAGTGAGGGAAAAGGGGAGGGCAGAGAAAAGAGGGAGTGAGGGAAAAGGGGAGGGGGGGAGGTAAGGGAGGGATTATAGGAGAAGGGACAGAGAGGAAACCTCAGTGATGTTATACAGGGGAGGAAATATATCACAGGCAAAAGAGGGTCGAATCACGAATGTAATATCTACACGGACGAGGAGAGCGAGCGTAAAATGCCTCCGCACTGTCCGGCGCCCCCTGGTGACTGCTACCAACACTTATACATCTTCTCTCTTTCAGCTCGTTGTGTCGCGGGCCAGCCAGTGTCCTCGCTTCCTCCTCCCCGATCGCCATGGCAACGACGACTCCGACGCCGACCCCGCATCCTCCGGGATTCTGCTGCCGAGCGGACAGTCGAAGACGATCAGTCTCCTAGCAACCAATCTCCCGCAGCCTCGCCACGGCGACGAGGGTTACCGCTGTCTGCTGCGCGTTGCCGGGGAGATGGCGCCACAGTCTAGCAGCGCGGAGGTGCGGCGGCAGCCGGGCGAGGCCAACCAGACGGTCACATGTGCAGCGACAACGGTGAGATGCCCCCCCGCCCTGTGTCACAGCGCGATAGTGAGATGCCCCCCCGCTGTGTCACAGCGCGATAGTGAGATGCCCCCTCTCCCATGCGTGATCATAATAGTATAATAATATATAATAAATAATAATAATATGTCATAATATTATAATATATATATGTATATATTACTATTATTATTAATGATTATAGGATATTAATGATTTAATACTACAATAAATCTATGTCAGAATTATAACGAATAATAAATATAATAATAATAATATAATAATAACCAAAATATATAATAATCTAATATAATCTAATATATAACAAAAATGAACCAGTGAAGCTCATAGACTGCCGCCGCTGTCTCACGCTCTCTCATCCTTCCCCTTACAGTACGGCTACAAGGAGAGCAGGGGCGAGGTGACGGCGTCGCTCTCCGTCGTCTGGAACGACGACCACCTCGTTGACATGGCAACGGTGACTCTGTATAAGTGCGCGGAGCTGGGAAGAGACTGCAGCCGCTGCCTGACGCGTGCGAGGAGGTACCGGTGCGCGTGGTGCGGGGGAGCGTGTACGTACGCCGCTGCCTGCCGCGACCAGCCACACGATACCTGCCCTCCTCCACACATCACAGACGTAAGTAAGGGGGAGGAGGGGGAGGAGGAGGAGGAGGGGAGGGGGGAGGGGGAGGGGCGTTTGGATCACTTTTGACTTTAAGGTATTAGCGTAATCACGTAGGGGCTTGAAAAAGAAGGAGGAATAAAAGAGAAAGAAGACGAAGAAGAAGAAGAAGACAATGAAACAGAAGAACTCACAGTCGATCAGAGAAACCACCACCATCACCTCTAACCTTCCCCCTTTCTCTCTGTCTCTCTGCAGTTCTCTCCAAAGTCGGGCCCGATCGAGGGAGGAACCCTCGTCACCATCTGGGGAACAAACCTCCTCCGTTCTCCCTCCGACGTCGCCAACGGCACCTCCGTCGCCGGCGTCCTCTGCCGAGTCAGCGAGCGCGACTACGATATCTCAACACGCCTCGTCTGCGCGACCGGCTACAGTGGCGCCCCTCGCGCCGGCCCCGTCGCCGTCCGCCGCCGCAAGGGAGGAGGGAGGAGGAAGAAGAAGGAGGAGCAGGAGGAGCAGCAGGAGGAGGAGGAGGAGTCGGTCGCGGAGTTTCGATACGTGGATCCGCGGATCGTGCAGATCGTTCCGCTGATCGGGCCGCGATCCGGGGGAACGCAACTCAACGTTACAGGAAGGAATCTGGATGTCGGAGGAGAGATCCAGGCTTTTATAGATGATCTTCCCTGCAAGGTGGAGAGGTGAGTGCGTGAGGGAGAAGGGGGAGGAGGAGGAGGAGGAGGGAGGGAGGAGGAGGGAGAGGAGGGGGAGGACGGGGAGGGAGGAATCGTAGA